TTTTTGTAGCAAAAGATTATAAAAAATGTGTCTTTCCACCAACACGCATGCAAACAACGCTCTGAAAGAGGGCCCTGGTATTTAATGAGAACATGTGAATAATTCAGCCTATTACAGGCCTTGGAGGAGTAAAGATGACTGCAGACATCATTAACTATTCACAGAAACACTACTATGCCACATGCACATATGCACTTCCACAAATACTGTACACAATTACCAAATATTTCAGCCAAGAATCCAAAACCATCTGTTTGAGCCTAAGGCCTTCACTGTTGAGCTCCAGGGAAGACGAGTTCAGGCTTTTTTTTTTCTTTAACAAAGAGCACTTTATATCATCTATTGCCAGGAATTTATTTGATTAAAAAATATAATTCATTAGGATAAAGGTAATTATTTGGCAAAGCTGTACCTTGTACCTAAAATGTGTTACATTTATGACATACTGCACTGGTTTTGTTTTAATTATTTAACATGTTTAAATAATTTGAAATCATTGTGCTGACAATGTATATGTACATATTGTTTAGCATTACGTTGTTGATTATTTGAAATTCATTAAACATCACAACAGTGACGATGTTTATGTAAAAGTCCCAAAAACAGACAAGTGTTTGTGTAAAAACCTCTGTACATCAGTTGAATTATTATTATTATTATTATTTTCTATTCATATAAACATAAATAACAAGATTGAAAAAAAAAGCCTCAAAATAACTATTCTTATAAAAAAACCTTTTTAATTTTTCAGTTTGTTTAAGGCTACTGGCTTCAGTTTGTGGATCATCTACATCCATGATTCCACCACCGTCACCTTGGATCCTTCTTTGACTGTTAGATCAACCATCTTTACATTTCTCTACATCAAGGAACTGTCCCTGAGGTTTTCTTCTCCTCTTTCTACCTGGGATCTTATCTCTAGCCTCCGTCTGATCTACACACTTCAAATTCTGTTCATCCATCCGGTCAGGACCAACTCAGGCCTCTCTCTCAATGACATGAAAGGTTCTAAAATCTTTTAGAACTGACCATCAAAGAATACAGTACAATGAACACCATGGAAGTGAACCGTAGAACACTTATTTTTAGAAAAATGATGACACTCAGTAACAGAAGCTCTACTCAACCATTCAACTCAATGGGTTTTGTTTTTCGACATGTCATCTACTGAACACTTCTGTACACAGCACCACAGGAAGCAGTCGAGTGCTCTGTAATTACCATGTTTCCCCATTAGCTTTGGCTGAGGACATTTAACACATGCCCACGCTAACACATCCTTATATTTACTGTTTCTCCAAACTGTCAGGTAAAATGTAAAAAAGAAGACATTATAAGCCCATGAAAAAAGAAGCTCAAACCATGAACCCAACACTCTCCTGTACTATTCTGGCAGTTCTGCTGACTTTAATACACGTAGGAAATGGTTGTTTTTAATGCAGCTAACAAACCACGCAGTGGTTAAGAGCTGGAAAGTCATGCTTTGCATCAAGAGGATTTTTCTTCCTTATTTTCAGTGTTCATCTACATCTAACACTCATCACCATAAGTTTCTAACCGGAAGTGACTGTAACATATAAGGAAGTGTATTTAAAACTACCTGCTAAAACACTTGAATCTCATTCTATTTTCAACAAAAAACTTGATTTCAGTTGATTTTACACAATGATGACTTTGATTGATTTTTGAGTATTGGGATTGCCTAGAAAAATAGTTTTAACTTTTGCAGTAAAATGTGCTTGTTTTTAAACTCTAGAAAGACTTCTCGTTGGTTGTTCTGACTACAGATTTCTGTGATTACTGCATCTTCGTAATGTGTGATAATTTCTGAAAATGGACACTACATGCACAAGACGTGACTAATAGCGAGAATGAAAACTCACGGGCAGACTGGGAGGATGTGTCAGTCAGTAAAATCTGCAGTTTTGTAAAAACAAAAGTCCATTGCCTCAACTTTCAGCTAGCTCACAGATGGAATTACTCAACTGTGTGGAATTTTGCCTATGTCAGCAACATTGCACTTGTGGAAAACACACATGACAGATGGACAGGAGAGTGGAGCAGGTAGGCCCGTTAAAGGGATGAGCCAGACATGACCTTTTACCCGCAGCCCAGCTGAGAAATGGCAGGATGACAGGGATAAACCACTCCTGTTAGGAGTACACAAATTCAACACACGTCATCTCTTCAACTATGACCAGACGCAGGCCCCTCCCTGGAGGCAGCTCATTCCAACGTGCACACAAAGACTGGGTTCAACTCAATGGCCTAAATGGCAACAGAGCTCTTAGCTACAGCAGCTCAAACTGACTGAATGGTCTTTATTGTGTGCCCATGGTCACAGGGGGCTTGCAGAAATGGGTTGTTTTTAAGAGACCATTCGGCAGGACTGGGTTCTTATCCAAGTAATGTAGAAACCGGCTTTTTTTTCATCTTAGTTTAGAGGAAAACTTGAGGATTCTAGAAAAAAACATTACTACATGCTAGTAACATGTCATATGCATCCAGAAAAAGGTAGTATGATTTATTAGTAAATTAACAACAACAACAAACAAAACATGCTCAGACATGCTAATTCTAACAAACTAAGACACGACTTAACTGGTGAAATCAGTCAAAATAAAACAAAGCTGAAAAAATGCATAAAGTAAAAACTGTTTACAACCAGAAAACACCTAAAACCACTTAGACTGGACTCACACGATAGATGCTAATTGGTCAAGAGCTCATTAATGCATTGACCTCCAATCAGCTCTAATAATGACTGCAGATGAACACTGACATTCAGGACAAATGTTTCGTACGAAATGTAAAGATGATACTGTGGCAGACTTCGAGGGATTTATGTTTTTTTAAACAAACAACCAACAATGGCCAATCAAAGACAGGCTGAGGTGAAGGGGATGCTGTCAACATCTCTGCAGCCACTGAGCAGGACAGCTGCTCTGGGGGGAGGGGCTGATTTTAACAGACTTGGGATTAATTAAATGCTTCACCTAATATTTGTCGAATGGAACAAATGGACACATCCATCACACAACCTGACAAGGGTTTCTCAAGAGTAAAGAGTGAGCTTCCCACTCAATGAGAAGTGCAGGTACTGTGGTTAAAGCTATAATTACTGTAACAACAGGTTAGCACAGCTGTATAAGACACATCACCCTAATGTCTGCAGTAAACATAACTGAGATCATGAGCTGCGTGTGGTTATCAGTGTCAGCCTTTTGTAGCAGGCTGTATCTCCATATGTAGAAGACGAGATGATGACTGAAGGCCTTGTCACTATGTCTCAACACTGTGGTCACAGTGACTCACAGTTTCACCGCACCAGAACGTTCTTTTCTACTGTAGCTCTGAACATCAGAGCTACAGAACAATTCAGGCTATAACTGAAAGGTGTGGTGTTAAAAGTTACATTACTGCATTGAGCATCACTAGCATGAATAATACATTCTAAAGTGAAAGAAAATGACAAAAAGGTGCTGAAATGAAGCTGTTGACATTTAAACAGTCCATTGAATATAAATAGGAAATAGAGTAAAACATAACAATAGATTCCTGAAAGGTGCTTGGTTGATAACATGAATATCACCTTATACATGTCTATGTAAACATAAGATTTCATTTTAATTTTTTAATGTTACGCTAGTTGTAGATCTTCTCCAAAGGAACATAATGTCTACTATGTCCCCATTTAGAGGAAAATGTGATAAAAAAAAATGACAAGAGACAGGGTGATATGAGTGAACACCGCTAGCGATTAACAGCTGAAACCAGTTTTCTTTTTAAGGATGTTTTCACTACCTGTTGTTTTGTTGTTCTCACTACCTGTACATGCCATTATGGATTAAATAAATGACCACCATGTTTGATTGAGGAGGAACTGGAAACAAGGAAACAGGAACTGGAACTTGTTTTTGAGCCCATAAACTCTTATTGACGTTAACTATTGATGTTATAAACGGAGACAGAAAAAGTACATGTAAATGTCATCTGTTTATAGATATAGATGTTTCGTCCAAAGCCAATACAGCAAATTATGTTTACCAATGTGACTGCACCGTTGACTAGGACGGGCCTTGTCCATTCATTATACACACAGTGCACTTTTTCTTGGGAGTTTTTATTTGAAACAAACAACTATAATCAACAATATGCCCAGACATCCATAATGTCATCCAGCCAGACTGGAACACTTTGGCTAAAAAGACACTAAAGTTTTATTACCATAGGTTTTGACTGTACTGGACAATTTAACAACGCAGATGCCCATGATTGACTTCTCAGAAAGTATTTTCTTTTTTTAATAAAATACTAATTACATTATCAATGGCAATTGTCTGAAATGCATCTTTATCAGTGCACTGAGTGTCTGTCAAATGCAGTAGGTAACAAAACTGTATCATTGTTTGTCATTGACAATATGGAAACCCTGCTCTCACATTTCAACAATAACCCTACGTAAACTACAGTTGAAATAAAGTGAACCTGGATCAACACCGTTTCCTCTGAGACTGAAGTTGTGATTGCCTACATAAGAAGACCCAGGAGCAGAATGACAGCAGAAGGGTCAAACACTGGTCTCCAGACCCTTTGCCTGAGGCCATCAGCAGCCAGCCTGTCAGGACAGACAGGACGGGATTGTAGGTTTAACTACAAAGATACTGTGACAAAAACATGCTTTAACCTTAAAGTGGTCACGCCATAGTGAGGCTAATTAAAATTAAGGTGCCGCCGTGATGAGCTTCAACCCTTATATTCCTTTCTTCAGTACAATGCAGCTTGTCATGCTCTTTGCTAGCTCGCGTCCCCACATCCTGTATTAGCACATAAAGAAACGAGGTGCCTCAGCCTCTGAGGTGAGCTCCCATTCACAGACAGACAGCGCAGAAAGACGCAGAGGGTTTTACACCGGTCTCTGTCTCCCACTTTAGAGACACGTAAAGAAAAGGTAAAAGAATTGCCCCAGCAGTTAGCAGCCCTCTCTCCACCTCCTTTACCTTCAGACAGCTCCAGGTCCAACTCCGCCAACTGGTCCCTAACCTCTTTTGGCAGGGCGGACAAATCCACGCCGCGGTCTGCCATGACTTCGCCGATAAATGTGGGTGTCTTCAAGACGACACGAAACCAGGGGTGCGTTGGAGAATGTGAAAAGTAAAAAGCCCTCCCTCAAGACACAAAACAAGCATCGGTGAGGGAGAGACAGTCCATCGGCACGGCTAACTGCTCCGCCATAATGGAAGAAACTCACCAACGGCGAGCCGCGGTCACGTGACTGCATTCACCTCGACTGTGTGTGAATTCACCGCATCCTTCGGTTTAAACACAAGAAAGGAGTCACACTGACACCGGTGCTCCCCCTGTTGTCCGACTGCGGGAAACGCACACACTGTTGCAGACGCGGACACAAAACTGCTGTCTGGCTGGAAGGGAACAGACTGTCTCAAACACACACACACACGTACACACACACAGACACATATCCACACACATTGTATACACTTTCTCCTGGTTTAAATGGACATATTATCATCCTCCAGCAGATGTTTTTGCTCCCTGTTGACCTTCATGGTTGACCATTCATAAAAGTGGCTGGATATGGCCAGTTGAAATTTTAGGGTGGAAAACCTAATAGGTCTTCCTTATGGTTATCCTAGTTGGGTTGCAGCCCATGTGCATGTGCTGCATTATGTTCTTTTTTTTCTCATACACTCTCTCTTTTTTACTTATGGTCAACCAAATAATTTATTCTTCTGTTATTTTCTGAGGTATGCCCTTGACCTATATTAATTCTTTTTGCCATTCCATATGCAGTAACCTGTAAAAATGGAGGTCAGGCAACAAAACAATGTCTATTGTATCCTGTAAAATCTCTTGCAATTTATTAACCACTACCCCTTGGGGGCGCCACTGGCAAACGACATTAAATCAGTTAGATAAATGTGTATCTCTTTTGTATGATGTGTGCAAAAACTGACAAAAACACTTGCCGTATAAATAAGGGAGCTGTCATTAAAGTATGTAAATAAAGTATAATGCAAAGTTTAAAGTAACTGGCTGTTCGCACACCGTACGTTGCACAGGCAGCAATAAGCGCACAACCGATTCCATTTCCTGTTCCCAGCAGGTGGCTCTATATGATCAAAAGACAAATGGGTAGACACTGCAGAACGGCCAACGTTTACTGCAACATTTAATCCTGCAGAAAAAAAAACCTTTATATTGAGAATGTTGGTTTCCACACTGCAGGAAAGTGGTAAGAACTCTGTCTTACAGGTGTCCTCATGTCTTCTCCTGGTGTCTTTTCTCTAACAAACATACTTGCACATTTTAGTGTCTGTCTACTCCACTCCAGTTTCAAAAACTAAGTAGACGTTGTTTAATCTGCCAGCGTCTGGAAATGCATCTCATAACCAGCTGTCTCCATTTTATTGCCTTGTGATGTAACAAACAGGGTGATTATGACCACCCCCACTCCCCCACTCCCCTCCCCTCCACCAAAGCATGGTTCCAACACTTGATTTAGACATTAAAGAACCATATCAAATACTTTAAAGATGTATTTGTGGCTCCTCAAATAGTGTATAAATATATGTATGATGAAATTGAACTTTTTTCTTTCTTTTTTTTTCTCACTCATAATAATGTTAATAATGTCAGCTCTCTTCTCCAATAGTCAATTTCTGTGACTTTCAATTCCATTTACTGCACACAGAGAGGTACAGATTTACTTTTCAAGTCCAATAATCAGTAACTGAATGAAGCTAAACAAAGCCACAACAAACCAAAGTCACACATTGTGCTTTTATTAGGTACAGATTTTTTAATAAAATGATTTTTTTTTGTTAATATGCACTAACAATAAAAGACAACACAAAATAAGGCCCACTGTTCATTAAAATGTAGTTTTTTTTAATTAAAACTGCAGCACTGTATGTAAGTGTTCATAGTATTCCACTTGGACATGCATGGAAAAGTAAATGTATTTGTATGGTACAGATATGTACAAGTTTAACAACAGGAGTGTGACAAACCATTAAAACAATGCATGCAACATACAAATGTTACATTTTCATCTTTTAATTGCCTTTTTAAAAATAATTCTGAATGTTATTAATGTTCCAAAAACTGTTATTTTAAAAATTGTTTTCACAACCAATTTGGTATAATAAGTTAGACAAGGCCACATTTTTGAACGATATAATAATGGGGGCAGAAATGTTTTTTAAGAGAAAAAAGCATAATGAAATTCAATCTGCAATAAAACAAATTCTGTTTTAAGGGAGTTGTTTCTATATTGGACAGTACAATTAAAAAAAAGCTTTATGAAAAAATGGGCTGTGCTGGAAATAGCACACAACAGAAGAAAATGACATGAATGACAAGAACACATGAGAGCTAAATATAGTATGAATTTTCATTTCATATGAACATTCGTCTAGAAGGAACTGCCAGCCAAATATAGTGACGGCTTCAAACTACGACAAAATGCCAGGCTCGTATTTTCAACTGTCAGAGTAGAGGTTCAGTCAAAGGAGAGAAGCGTTTGAGCTGCTGGAAATTCCCATTCATTTTGTTAAAGTAAAGAACAAGAGAAAAAGAGAAGATGTGATTAAAACAACAGAACCAAGAAAGTAAAGTAAATGAACAGAAATACAAATAAACTCGTAGTATCTTAGTGCATAAAGACATGCTCTCCTGGTAATGGATAGATATCTTGTCTTTGAAATATCACATCTCACAAATATATGATCACATCAGACAAAACTATACAGGTAATAAAAACAAACAAGGACAGAAAACCGTGTGTATATTTTGCTTATGAAAAATATATGTTTATCTGGAAAAGATGGTGGGGTTTGAGGAAAAGTAAAACCATTCAGAACCTCTCTCTATCGGACCTTTACCAGTGAAGAAGCTCTTCTGTGACAAGTACAATTATTTTTAAAAAAAGACTTTTTGTTTTTTAAAAAATACAACCAAACTTTAAAACATGATAGGAATATAAACAAACTAATAGATCTTTGTTTTTCACTGATTGCTTCACATCGACTCAAATGAACAAATACACTTTTGCAAAAGCTCCACTTTCACACTAGTAAATCTTAAACTGAGATATAAGAGGCACTGATGTGATCTTAAGGCAGAAATGACCAAAACACAATTGTTGCTGCGTGAAGGTGTGTTTAAGTGCAAATAACAACCAGTCAGATACTGTAAAGATAGTGTCTATGTGGCCTCTGAACCCCTAAATAACAGTCCAGCCATGCACAGCCTGTGTTAGAAACCAGTACTGGGCGACCTCTGGAGATTCAGACGGTCTGATTGGTTATGGCTTAGACTAGGTTTGGTAGAGAGCACAGACATGGATGGGGTTTTTGTCACACTTTCAGCGAGTATGTGCAACTACCCTGAGACGTGTGAAAGTAACAGTTACAATATGTCCAAGTCCCACACAGAGGAAACAGTCATTACGATGAAACGTCCATTCACTTTTAAACCATTAAACTATCTTTAGAAGACAAACAGAGGGAGGGAGAGTAAAAAAATATTTCAAATACTAATCTTTCTTGGGAAACAATACATTTTAGTTATGTGGACTGATCTGAAAGGATGTGCCAATTAGGTTAAATTATAGCTGCACGTACTGCATCAACAACATCACACCCTACTACCAAGTCACATGATAACAATCTAAGTGTTTGTGTATTAGATCAAGAGTAGACAAACTGTTGTGTTCTGATGTACATACATTTTGCACACACATACATAGCCAATCTCACACACACTGTTCATACAGTTTATTATAAGGGGAGGGTGGGCGGGGCGTAACTGAGGTAAGATTTTAGGTTAATATCACCTTTAGGTAGAACTGCTTACAGAAGGATTACCAGAAGTAAATATTCTGTGTCACAGTATGCAGGAATTCAAGATGAACGTAAATCTATAAAGATGATTACAAACGTAATCTCACCAGGTGGGTACGTTCATCTGCAGGGATGCTGCCCTCATCACATAATTTCTCGTTTCCATTTATTCCAGTTTTAAGCTTTAGTAATCGAAAGTAAAAAAACGTATTATTGGCAGTAAAACAATTTTTCAAATGTCAGCTGCAGAGACTGAGGTGGAGGGTAATGTTAGGACAGGCTCATGGTGGAGAGTGATTACTGTAAGTTAGATATCTCTAAGATAAGAATGCAATTTTAATTTTTTTGGAGATAATGTGGGGGAGTCAGCAGACCAAAGACTTGTACATGTTTAGATGTGTTGAATTCCTGCGTACTGTACCTTTATGATTACTGAAGACTTAGGGGTGTCACATTTTAGGATCAAAAAATATCTTAGGCTGAGGTGGTAAAAGTCTGAATGTAAGGATTAAAACCTGAATCTTGTGCCTCAGGTTGTCCCTTTAGAAGCGACTGCATGCTCTGACACAGAGAGCTTCAGACGCAGCTCATCCTTTAACCTAAGCAGAAGAAGACAGCGCTGACAGTTTATTTTGTTTTTGGTAGCAGACGGGGCCATACTTTGTCTTTGGTCTGACAGATACAACACCAACGTACTCTGAAAAGCATCACAGCGGTAATGAACAGACTCAGGTTCATTTCCACTGCAGTGATTCTTGCTGACGACTTACATTTGTGTTCATACACAGGAGCCTGACTTGCTTTTATTTCAGCATAATGGAATTGGCAAAAAAAAAAAACAAAGCATGGAAAAACTCAGAACTAACAAAGTGGAAGATTCAGCTGTGGAGATGACCCTACCTAGTCCGTCTGGTGGTTTGGTTTTTTTGGGTTTTTTTTTTTTTTTGATGTGGAGTCATGTGACAGCGGATCTCAGAATAACTCAGAAAAACTTGTCACAAGATGATGATAAATTTTGGAAAAAGTGACAGCCCTAATGCCTTCTGTATCTTTGAAGAGGATAATGTACAGAGATGCTGTGATGGTACGTGTGGGTGTGTGCATGACTCAAACATTTAAAGAGGCACAAGACACGATTCCTGTTAAAAACGGTGTTAACGCTCTGGGGGTGTTTTCTTTTTTTTTTGGTTTCAATTTTGATCATGAATGCTCAACACTTGAGAGTTTCAAAGTGGGGATGTGTCACTGTTGGTAGTTCTTTTTTTTTTTTTCATTCGAACATCAGTACACTGAGCATGGTGCAGTCCTACAGTCCAGCAGAATGTCTTTGGACTGGAAAGTGAGAACAGAAGAGCACAGAGGCATAGAGGGCAACTTTAGGTAGGGAGGTTGGGGGTTGGAGTCCAGCCCCTGAAGTCTGTGGCAAAGTGATGAGGAAGCTCTCTCAAAAGTCTCAGTCCGTTCCCAGAAGGCTGCTGTTGCTGAGCTCCAGGCCACAGCGTGATGGCTCCACAGTAGGGTCACAGAGAGCACAGGATAAGAAGCGAGCGAAAGATGAGATATTTGGACGTCTAGATGGTGGATGTTGGGAAGGGTAGGGGGTGTCCGCCGCTCTTATTCTGACTCTCGGTAATGAGCCAAGTCTTGGCCATGATGACATCGCTCATCATCTGGCAGTTGAATGAGACTGTGCAGCCATGATAATATGAGAAGATCCGCTCTCGGCCCTCTGCGACTGGCCCATTCCTGCCAGCACGGACATAGCCATGGCCTCAGCTGCTGCCCTTGGCCTCAGGCCATTTTGCCCCATGGAGGGGCTGGGTGCCAGGGAGCTGTGCTGGATGACGGGCGCAGGGGAACCTGTGGGCTCTGAGGTGTCTTTCATGCTCTCCTCTGCAGCCGCACAGTAAAAACAGATGGTAAATGTAACAAATTTAACTTGTGTGTTACAACTGAATAAAATCATAAAGATGAAAGTCATTAGTTAATGTGTTATAGCCCTAAATAAAAATGCCATAAGCTACAAAAATACTTTTGAATTAGTTTAACCCAAAGTCAACAACTGCCTCAAATTTTATATTATGGGTGTTTTCTTTCATTAAAAAAATGAATGGATTCAATGCATAATAAGGTTCCAACAAATTCAACACCTTTCAGAAGTTTTTCTTGGCGTATAACAAATGTTTTGTAGGTCTTACCATAACATCGAAATTATACTGCAAATATAAACACCTTGCACCTATGCACAAACACAGTAAACATTTGAAAAACAGTAAGAACATTGTTTGACAGCAGAAATAAACTATAATAAACTATAATAAAGTTTCATTATAATTTACAACATAGTGTTTGCTAAAAAAGTTATGCAAAACAGGGTTCCTTAACCCATGGTATGGAGACCAGTACTCAGCTGTGGATCACTGCTACTGGGCTGCATAGAAAGAATAAACGGACATACTGTAGCTCGACTCAGAACTCACCTAAGTAGGCAGTCTTCTTCTGCAGGTTCGTAACAGGACAGTCCTTATGGGCCAGTAGCAGCTGCTTCAAATGAGCAACTTCGTTCCGCAAGAGAGACACTTCATTCTGAGAGCGAGGAGGGTCAGCTGATTAAAACCCAATTCATTTACGATAGAATTAAAAGAATCTCCTAAATCACAAGTCCTGTTTCAAAACTGAAAACCTTGAAGTAACTTGTTCTTCTCTGAACTTAACTGACCTCAGCTGAAATTAACCTGTGAGACTAAGTTGTGTACAGGACTCAGTAAGGATGATGCAGACAGGTCAGCGGACCACGCTGTATCTCTGCTCGCCCATTACGGGCCCACTCACCGACAGTGAGACGTTCAGGCTGCTCAGCTCCTCGGCCTTCTTCTCCAGGGAACAGACCCACAATTTGCGTTTTTGTCTGCACCGTGATGCTGCGGCGCGATTCCTCTCGAGGAAGCGCTGTCTGCGCTCGTCTGGGTCATCGTCTGTTGTCCGCCGCCGACGCCCACCTGTAGGCTGAGCTGGAGATACCTTGACAGGAGCAAGGGTGGGATGGAAACCATGGGTAGAGAAGCAGACATGAAACAAGAAAAAGGAAGTTTGACTCGGGGTTTAACATCAAAGCAGCAGAGTTTTACATATACTTTGGACTTCTTTTTGGTTTGTTATCAACTAGATTTTCTGAAACTGGGGCCAAACCCATTCAGTATATGGTAATAGTACCAATACCATACCCAATACTACTTAAGACTGGGTTTTAATAAATGAACGGGAAGGAAGTGTTATATATGTGGCACAGCTCTGTGGGTAACAGCTTTACGTGTCGTGTGTAGGGCTGAGCTCAACCCAAACCACAGTGAGGTTACAGACATTCTTTTTCCATAAACAGAAGCTTCTTTCACCCAAAAAGAAAATAATCTTTTTAGATTAAACAAAACTGAACAGGAAGTGCTCAGAGCTTTTACACCATTTCCAGTAAAACTGAGTGTCATTATTTCCATGTTTAAAAACAAATTTTAACAAACAATGTTGGTTAAATAGGTCTCAACAATAATTGACCTGGTGAGACATAAACTCCTCATCGATCCACTCAGATGTTAAACTGTGTGTTTTTAGAGCTGAGGCACGTCTTCAGGTGATGTATTAAATTTGGAACTACTGGCCTCATACTGTACTTCAAACAGGGCAATGTATCTGTTCACTGATTCTTCACGGTAAGATAGGCTGTACCTGAGGTTGTGCAGGTGATGGAGCATCTGGGTGTTGGACAAGCAGTTGACTCTGTTCTGCCCTCTGAGGCACCATGGGGCTGCTGCCCATGGCCATCACCCCCATACTGTGTCCTGATGGACTCTGGTGGGACAGTGCAGCCTTCAGCCGCTGAAGAAGGAGAAGCGTTAACAACAGAAAGTACAGAAGACATGAGAAAAACATGTAATGCCAAGGAAACAAGTCTGCTGAGAGTTGAGGACGAGGAACTCTCGCAGGATCTGCAGGTCCACTGTGAGATTTGGTGACAAAGAAATGGAACAACAGCAGAAGTCCAGGGGGACTTCACCAGCACTACTCTCTATATTTATAATCTGAAACTGTGGTGGTCTTCCTACAGATGTATGGTTTTCTTTAATTTGACAAATGTTTACATTTGTATTGTTTTACAATTTCAACCATAAAAAGAAAGCAAAGAAAGCAGTGGTCATATTCAGTGACAATGGTGTTGTAATACCATCAGTTTATTTCTATTTTCATTCATTGAACTAAATTCACCAATACAACAGATGGATAATGTCAATATTGGATGAGCCTATTGTTTAGATTGGCAAACGGTTTATTTTGTGCTGTTGGAAAAGTGCCAGATGATAAATGTATTTAGCATATAGTTATAATTTCATTCATTCTGCTTGACATCTCTGGGTTTTTGAAAAAAAAAGGAAAGAAAATAAAATAATTCTAGTCTATAAAAAGAGTCAGAATCCTCAGAGGAGTTCATTAAAAATGGTTCTCATCCTCTGTGATTTAATAGTTGTGTATTGAGTATTTGTGATGTTGCTGTTAAGGGTTAAAAGTGCAAGTAACAGCAGAAAAAATAAGTCATATGACAAGCCAACTTCGCCAACAGAGTGGATGGCTGCAGGGCAGAAACAAGAACAGGAGAGTGGATGGCTGCAGGGCAGAAACAAAAAGAACAGATAAAAGTGATAAAAATAGAAAATCTAATGCTGACCATCTTGGCCTCTGAGTGGATGCTGTAGCCGGAGGGGGAGTTAGAGCCACTGCTGCTGCCTCCCAGTGGAGGACCGGGGATACCAGGAATGTTGGGCACCATGCACAGGGGTCGGGCCAGCTGGAGACCAAATACAAAACATAAATACATCAATATTTATAACTGAAACCCAGATCTTCTGGGTTTCAGTTCTTCTTTCAGCTGTTCACTCAAATAGGAAAAGTGGTAAAAACTGACAGTCTTACATTAATGACAGAATGAACAGGACTAGGGAGCAGAGGCAAAGCCTGGCCGGTGGGTAGCATCATCATGGGGTAGTGGCTGGTTGGAGAACTGGATGGGAAGAAATACAAGGACAATGGAAACAGGAGGCAGTTAGAAAAAAATGTCAAGCTTAAATCTTGGAAGTTGGAAAAATAACCTCAAGTCAACATTCACAATATGTACAGGAGAGTTAATACTCCAAGCTGAGCTGCCACTCCTAACAGTAACCATGTCATGGCAACCTATCACAATAGGCTTGTACAGTTCGTTGTATGTGTGTTAACCTACACAGGAAACACTCCAATTGATTTACATCTGACTCACAGGAGCATCTGCAGCAACAATTTTAGCTGTTGTTACTTTACAGCTCGCTATAAAGGAAGCAAGGAGGTTTCATCCTTCGGTTTTGCTGGTCATGTTTTGAAACTACCAACCCTCCAATCACAAACCAGTCCCTCTAACCACTAGGCGACCGGCTGCGCTATAAATATATATATACATTTTTATATATCCACTTGATTAAGAACATGCACAGATTTAGCTTAATCAAAACATCCACTAAAACATTTTTTACATTTATACAATATAGTGACCCAATAACCACAACAACACCTGATGCCTGATGATGCGATATACCATGGGTTTACCACCCTCTACAGTAGTGTGTGAATGTGAGAGGGAAAACAGAGAGTGGTGCAGATCCACACTGATTACATCTATGGTTTGGATTGTCTTGCTTGAACCACACTGACCCTGGAAATTGAGTGTTTTCTGTTGCTCTGTTCTCTCTCTTTCTTTGCTGCTCCCAGTGATAACAACAGCAATGGGTGAGCACTTCGATCGAAGCGCAGCTACTAGCTATTTTACAAACTGAACATTTTCACACAGATGACCGTTACACCACTCTGATACTGTTATTGCTTTTGCAGCCGGAAAAGTAGCAGAAAATTTTCTCCCACAATTCAGTGATCAAACTACTCGCTTCAGCTACCTACAAGGCTACACCTCCAGTGCCTCACTGCCCTTTGTCTCCAGGGCAGCTGTCATTTGATCTGTCTGAACTAAACGGAACACGATGTGAGGTCACGTGCTGGGCGCACTATAGAGCATTGTTTATAACGCGGTGCAGTCACTACAACAGCATTACACATGTTAAAAGAACCTAACTTACCCCAGAGTACGACTGGAGGGTGGAGCCTGTGTGATGACAGAGGTTGGTGATGGCATCGTCGGCTGAAGGCTTTCAAAGCCCAAGTGTAATGGGAGGGAACCTGGACGCACAATAGTCGGGGTGGGAGCTGAACTCCTGGGAGGAGTGTCCTTAAATGCAAATGATGCGTAGTGAAGTTAAACCGACTGCAGCAAATCAACATGTCATGTCTTTAAAGAAACGTGAATTACATGAACAGAAGAATGTTACACAGCTGTGATGGTTAACATTAATGAGGGTCGTCAGAAATAAACAGGCAGGAACAGCAGAGGTGAGGAAACAGTGAGGGTGGGGTGCTGAGTTTACCTGCCACCGCTGCTAAAAACATCCCAGCAGAACCACTGTTAATTATTCCCTTTCTGTGTAATCAGACCATATCACCCATTCCTTACCTTTGCTTTAGTCGGAGGCTCTTTGCTACTTTCCCACTTCCCAGAGGTGGATTCAGGGCTGCCTGGTGGTGAAGAGTCCACCTCTACAGGTTCCTCCTTCTTAACCTTCACTTCTGTCGGTGTCTGCAGAGTCATGTCCAAAGCCACAGAATTGGCAGAGGGGAGCTGAGAAAGACAAGGAGTACATTTAAAAACAAACATCACCCTCACAGGCTACAGCTTATAATAAAGGAAGTGGGTTTTTAACACGCTTGTGCAAAAGTCACTTTAATTTGTAATCACCCAGACAGAAAGCACAAAGAGGGAATATTCTGTAAGCATTTATTTTGACCACAATGAAAGCAGTGGTAAAGCACAAGGAAGTGGGAGATTGTTTTAATGTTATGGGTTTTTTCCAGAAAGTTTCATCGGCTTTGGTGTTCAGAAATACTGTCCATGCAAACGCCAGAATAAACAACACAAACACAGCACAGACCCACAAGCCCTTCTTACAGCGTTCTTGGCCCTTTTCTCCTCCTCATCTTGTGTGAAGGAGCTGGCCAGCTCGTTGAACAGACCGACCTCCTCACAGTTTTTAAGGAAACGTGTGGGAGTAGGTGTCGTGTCTGTTAAATAGGAATGAACAGACATAACAGTAAGTGACATATTCACACTGCATATGTACTTCGCTTTAATCGAGGAAACCCATGTCATAAATGTGCCTATGAATAAACATTTGGTTAATGTGCAGCAACATCAGTACCTGCAATTATGACAGAGTCCGTTCTTGGTGGTCCGAACTTCAGGGTCATCTCGTGCTTGTGTTTGTGTACAGCCAAATGGTCCTCATTGGTGAACCTCTGGAAAGGAAGAATTCAGATAAAAACATATCATAAGTTTGACTTGATGTAATGACTTTATTTGCAGGTGACCTAAAAAAGTTAAATGTTATGTCTTATATACTATATACTATGTGACATAGAACAAGGGAAAATATGTGGTGAACAACAGCTCACCTTTAAAGCTCTTCAGAGTTCCAGTTGTTTTAGACTGCATGTGGTGTTTTACTATCATAATTTAATAAGTTAAAAGAATATTTTTATCAGTAATGTATTTTTAATCAACTACTAGACATTTCAGGCAACCCTACATGAGACTGCAACCCCAAGGTTGAAAAACACTATGGTAGGGTAGAAAAAAAGAAGAAAGAAAGGGGTTTAAATTAGTGCTGTAACAATAAACATGTTCATCACCATGGAGTTTCACAAAATAATATATATTACTATTTTTTAAGGAGTTAGCAAATAAAAGACATGTTGCTACAGTGTGTCGTTACACACCAACATACTGTAGGTCCTCTAAAGACCTGTGAGGAATAATGCTCTGGCACCAGTCTATTCTCCATTCTCTGCAGCCTATTTTAGGGACAGCGTTGCAGTTGTGACTTCAGTCGTCAGAGTGAAGTGGAAACACAGTCAAGTGTCATGAGACTTATTTTTAACCCTGCCAGGCAGCATCACCAGTACAACTACATGTCTCATTTGTCTCTTTAGTCTGGACGCAGCACCTGGGCCTACTGCAGAGAACTGTCCCCAGCTAATCTCCTGTATAAGATACTGGCAGCTAGGATTACCCCTTTGCCACACAGTAAACTCCAGGGATCCCAAGATGGGTGGCAGCCGCTGCCGCTGTTATTGTTGTTGTGGTTGTCAAAAGTAAAAACTCTGTGCAAACGCCAGGAGTCAATCATCCTCGTTCGACTGTGGCCATGATTCAGACTTTCCTGGTAGACAACTGTTGTGTCTAAAGGGCAGCTGGAAAATGCTGTTTAGATATTCAGAGAATGTGTGGGTTTAAATTTAGATACAACATCACACATTGTTCAGGTGTATATTAAAATAATTATGGGAGCTGCACACACGAGCCCTCTGCAAAGATAATGCTAATCTGCACCGCAGAAAATTTCCATGTAGTTATTTAGATAATGACAATCATGAATTGCTTAGCTGTTGACTGCTTAAAGTTTCCTTTTAAATACTCCTGAAGTCTCTTTTCTTCGTATTTTTTAAACAAAACAAAAAAACAGTCGTTGCTGCAATTAAAAAAAAAAACAGGACAAAACCATTAAAATATTTTTGGGTTTAACTTCTATTGGCAGACATTAACTGTATGTTTCTACTGTTTCTACTAGACTCCATGTTCACATAATGAGCTCTTTTTATTTACATTCAAGGAAAGTCTTGCAATATTCAATCACTGTTTTCACCCTAGTCCGCATTGGACAAACTAATCTTTTGTTTAGTTTAGTTTTTATAATAACTGAAGCTTGCCAATGTCCAATGTGAAACACTGGGATCAGAACATGCACAGTCATCGTCAGATGCTTCATCTAACACTAGTTACCCATTGTTTAAACACTTTCAATTCAGATGGCTGTTCACCATTTTATTTTTCTCCAAATATTGAAAAGGAATTTGTAAGTAACGTGTTCTGAAAGTGAGCCTGTGTTTGGTTATGAAAATCACCACCCAACATCTAGCACTATCACACCACAGTATGAATCATGCTGTTTATACAGCAGTTTAACACTCAAACAAACCTGTGGGGAGAGCCACAGCTGTCGACCAGGACCATCAGCACACATCTCTTTACCTTTAAACACACCTACGTGTCGTTTTGCTTTGACGTTAAGGTAAAGTCATAATAAAGTGCTAAGAGGGGAATCTATAAACTTTCTGTCACATGGTTCATGACCTTGGCTGACCTTTGGATTACATTTGCATGATGCCACCTTCCTTCCTCTTGCTACAAGTCCTTTTTCATGTGAGTGTTTTCTCTACAGATGCCACACCATCCAAACAAAAACAATGTGCAGAAGGTTTTTTTTTCTCCACCAAATATGACCAAAGCCACCTGAGACCAGTCTGAAACCTTATTAAGTCCAGGATCAAACTGACCATGGTTGACCTCAGCTGACACACAAATGTCAAGTGATGTTATGCTAACTGGAGTGGTACAGCATGTCCACCAACTGAGGTAGCTGTGCACCTGATGTCATGTAACGAAAAATCTTTTCCACAGATATCACTTTTGCAACATGTTGAGGAACTAATTTATTTAGCTATTTCCATTTTATTCATCTTTTTCCTGATTTTTTTTTTTTTACACGTTTGACTTTTGTTCTATTAGGTGTATGTGTTGGGGGCATTCTTTGTTCTCCATAATATTCTGAGAGGTAAATACAGTAACACAGAAAATGATTTATTCAGCAAGTACATGATGGTTTAAACCCCTTACATGGCTGTTGTACAAACAAAAAACCACATGTGCAAAAGACCTGCTCTCATCAGAACACAGAAATGGACATATGAATCACAAATGTTTCTTAGTCACATAAACACTTCTCTTTCAACAGATCCCAGAATGAAAGAAAAAAAAAACTCTGGGGAGGTAGGGAGAGAAGGAGGAGATCAGCGCTCCTTCAAAAGACATCACACCGATCTGAGCACAGCATCAAAAAAAACATTAGACATGGTCTTCTCTCCCATGTTAGATAATCTTGAGTCCTGTCTTTTATTATTGCTGCCTTATCATGGCCAAGCCCTGACAATGCACCACGTTACTGCCATGTGAGCACACTACAGGCACTCAGCTGAGTCACTAACATGGCTCAAATCTGTGTCTGCAGGCACTGCATGTCAACAGTGACAGGTTGAAACAATAACTGTGCTCTGATTACTCACTGTAGCTCATACTGAGTCACTGCTAAAGGAGACAGTTTTGTCTCAACAGACGGGGAACTGGCCTAAATGATATTAGTGTGACAGAGTACACAGTCCATCTGACAATAAAAGTACAACTAAACTAATTCAAAGTCCCATGTAAATATTAACTTAGTCTGTTTTCATTTTCCAATTGTTTCAGTCCACTGTGGGTATTACACAAAGACATGCACGCATCGTAGACCAGGGAAATGTGGGAGAAGACGTCTTACCTGTCCACAGCCAGAAGAGTTGCACACAAAAGGTCGGTCGTCCCCCATTTTTGCAAAGACCCTGCAGTGTAACTGTGGGTGAGGAGAAAAGGAGAACATGTGTGTGACTTTTGTTGAATGGCAAACTGGAAAAATCCTTCACACAACAAAAAAGGGGATGCTGTGGCTTGTAGTCCTTACAGCCCAAGCAGGAAGCCGAGTGCTATTTAAAAATAACCCTGGCAAAATGAAAAACACGGACACGGAGGCAACAGGACCAAGTTTCCCTGGTGATACTTCCTTCGCACAGGGGGGCTTCTGGTCCACCAATGAGGAGCCGTTTACAAAGAAACGACAGCAACCATTCACACAAAGATGTCTGCCTCTCCTTCTCCTTCTGTCTTGTTCTCTTTCACTGGCAATCCCTCCTTCTCCCATTACCACTCCCATCTCTCACTTCTCAGACACCTTTACACTTCCTGAAGCCTTCTTGTTACATTTTCCAAAAATCAGGTTTGAAAGAATATCATGACAAATGCTAAACTTTAGCATCAACCACAGACTCCAGTGTCACGTTTGCAGAAAACATTAGCAACTTTCACAACTAATTTTTGTTATCGTGTTTAAAATAGTCCTGATTATTAGTATTAGTATGTATATAGTATGTATAATCAAAATGACAAAAAGGGTGGCACTGTGAACTGTTTGTGAGGAACACCACATGGATGACAGTATGGTAACTATTCTGAAAATTAAGCTAAATATGTCGTACTTCTCCTGCTTTGGTATTGATTTTGATTGAGCTTGCTTACTTCAAGAAGTACAACTTGTTATTGTTTGGTCAGGGTCTGCTGAAGCACTGTGCTTGTATTGGTAAGCAGTCCACACGAGATTGTCAATAGGCAACGCAAAGCTAATGCTAATTCCTCTGCAAAACTCCTAAAGCTGAAATAAACATTGAATGCATTCATTGAATGCATTCTTTTTACATATAGTTTACCAGTAAATACCTTACATTACATTTAACTGATTCCAAATGTGCAACACTCTCTTCTATAGCAGTCAGTAACTACTCAACTAATAAAAGAAACCCCACAATCTGATGTCTTTAATTTACTCACAATCTGTCTGGATGACAATAATAATAAACTCCACCAGTGTATAATGGTTTTTTTTGTGTGTTTTTTAACTGTTAACTTCTGATTTTTTGGGGTCTACAATGTGATGCACTGCAACAAATATTTGTTTGAGAACTTTGTGAACATTTTTTATTTTTATGTTTTTTGAGAGTTTTATGAGACTGTTATTAACAAAGCATAAATACATGGTACTACTTTAAAAATAGAGACACGCAAGGAGAGCACCACTGGACATTTGATGGCACTGGAAACATTCTCAACGCCTTCCACACAGTGCACCAAAGCCCCCTCCACCTCCTCCACTCCCCTTCCGAAGTACATGCTAATGTCAAGAGTTAAACACGCATGTTTCTGTTGGGTCCTTCCTCCTGTTCTAACTGAAGCTATGCGAGGCCTACAGCTTCAATCAGCTGTTTTCACAGAGGAGAATGACTCTTCAAGATTGAAGCCCACCACCCACATCCCCTCCACAGCCTAGACCCTATTACCTCCTGTATAGCTGAGAAACACTCCATGTGAATGCAAAGCAGGGAGTTAAGGAAAATAACTTTGTCATTAAATTTAAATAAGGGAACTGGAGGGGTGGCAACGGCGATAGACAAGGGACATTAATTTTTAAGCATTCTCTGCTGGCCAAAAAGTGAAGTCTGGCTGCTTATTCACAAAGCAGCAGCGCTTACAGCACAGTAATACTGACATGCAATACGGGCAATGCTGTATAAACAAGGAGAATCACTTCAGTAAACAAAAGCCAACACGATTACTAAAGTAGTCATCATGAGCAGCTATAGTTTTCCAACTTAAATTAAATCCTTTGAATGCGAGTTCCTGGCTGTTCCTTCAACATTTAATATAAGTAAAACATGGAAATGCCTGGTGGTGGATATTCAACCTTGTTACTCACTTTGCACTTTTGTTTCACAGACTACATGAGTTGAACATGAAGTCTTACATTATTGAGTGCGACAGATTGTTCATTATGTTGGCGAAGCATAAATGTCTGAACCTTTTCCCAGCGTTGAAGTCAGAACATTTTCCTCCTTCCTTTTCCCCTAAGAGGACAGCTGCCCCTGAGCCAAAGCATGATTACTGAAGCCTTGCACTGGAATACCACGCTCTCCCATGACTCTGGATCTGTAACAGGCCTAAATATTGTGTCGCTCAACTACATGTATTTATGATGGGGGAGATGCAATTTGTGTTTGTAAGCAAAAGTCCAATCCCTTGCTCCAGACTTCAAAGGGAACATGAAGCAGATCAGTCTGATTTGTTTCAGACCTACCATGCTCTGCAGAAAGACAACAAATCAGCGCCAGGTCCCTCACAACGTGCTTACAATCCACTGAGCCTATTTGGGCAGAAATGTGTCTGCAAACAAGATACTCCATCCAGCTCGTTATACCGTGGGTGTCAATTGTTTGGGGAAGTAGACACATCTGGTGTGAGGAGGGGGAGCAAATTCAGTTTACATCTCACTTAGGCAAACTAGACATTAACTGGTGCGGCTGGTAACAGTGTGAAGAGGAGGATCAGATTCTGTGGGCACTTTATCATACAACCCAGATCTTATTGTTGAAAAACTATCATCCGTTTATGTCAATCATCAAAACAATATTGGGAGCTTTTTTAGAACTAATTTCTTCAGTTTTTCTCAGATGTATTTGACTAGCGCACAGCAACATTATTAAAGATAACAGTGTTATGTTTTACAGCACACTGTAAAATAACTTCCTTTATTGAGACCTCGGCCCTGTGAGACACAATAAATCAGTCTTTCACTTACAGGCTGATGCACGTCTCTGATATTCATTACAGACGTGGATATCACATCCACCATTTTTCAACACCTTTCATCCAAGGTGACATGGAAGCACTCAAACTGCCCTGATTCCTGACCCTCTCATTGAGCTGCTGCCAAAGTCCCACTGTTAACTTGGATTTCTCCGACTCAGCAGGTGTAGAGGGACGAGTCCCAGCTATAATCAGCCACAGCCATCCAGTGTTTGATGCAGTCTGCTAGGAAACTGACTAAACAAACTGTATTAATAGCCTGTGCTGCAGCCGTGACTGTGGAATCTGAGGCTTGAATTGCCAGAGGGCAGGGGAGACCCCTCAAAAAGAAAAAACAGTAGAGGGAGGGGGACAGAGAGACTGAAAGGAAAAGGAAAAAAGAAAAAAAAGGGAAATAAAAAGAAACAAGCAAACAAAACAGAACACAAACAGAAACAAATAAAGATATGGAAAAATAAGAAATAAAAGGAATGGTAAAATTAAAGAAAAGAAAGGGGAAAAAAGGAAAGAAAAGAAACAATGTGAAACTCTGTTAACAATGTTAGCTTTAGAGACAAGAAGACTCGTCTGTTGCAGGGTGTGTGCAGCCAATATGTATTTGTGTAAGCAAAGTGAACATGAGATTTTGTAAATGGAACAAATGAAACCTTATATCCATGTCTGCATAACTGGCAAGTCCTAAAAGCTAAATCCATGCCAAGCCAGCAGACAATGTAGCACAATACAGGATGGATTCAATGCAGTTTTCTAAAATTAAATCAGAAATGCTACACTGATCCGGGTCCCAGGCAGACGGCTATTTGGTGGAAGGAAATGACTGATTCTTATCTACAATTAAAATCTGAAATATTGCTGTGAATTTCTCAGCACAATAATTTAAATTAACAGAGAGTTTCCAACATTGTCTGTCATAAAACAATGTTGGGATTGACGTATAAACCAATGACAGACTTTCACTCTCACTAGATTAACCACTAGACTAACACTTACAGAACCATATGTGTGTGTCTGACCTTATGACAACTGATCTACCACTGCACGTATGATTTAAGTGTTGTCAGCTCGTTGGATAAAATAAGAGTTCAAAGCTGCAATGTCCTGTTCTGTCTTAAATTATTTTAACAGAAATGTCAAATGGGACTCTGCAAAGTTAGCATTTTTCCCTGGTCTAACAATTCTCAGTGATGGAATGAGGTACAACTCTGCCAAAAACATGACCTACATTCCTAATGAAGGTGTTGACATGTATGGGGATACAGATCCTTGGGCGTTAAAAGGCTCAAATTGCAATACTATGGATATCATGATTACTTGAGACTTTGGAGGCTCTGCCTGCAGACCCAGTTTATCATCAACATAATACTCTACCGCCAAAAAACAGACAAACAAATTTAGTCCTTTTTTGAAGATCCGAGCCGGTTGAAGATGTCGAAGACTCAATCAATCGAAGGGGGGGTCACATGAGCCGTGTAAACGTAGGCAAATTTGTAAAACAACGTTGATTTGTCTAGAAAAAGTTTAAGCCTCCATTACCTTCTGGCTACATACGGGGAGAGTTAGCCCTGCCTTTTCCCGTAACAAGACCGCCTTTACTTTTCAGCAATTGGCTCCTTGCGCGTCATTCAACCGCACGGAGTGCTTGTGTAGATTCAGACTAAGTCAGTTACACCCTCTGGTTTCACCTTATTGGCCAAAAAATCTGAAATCAACTTTTTTTTTGCATCCACGCAAAACTAATGGCTAGCTGGCATGGCTAGCGTTACCAACAGGCCAGACCCGCATTCAAACTTTGTAATAACAGCGCCATTAAATGCAGTGACAGTAAACACACGGGAACGAGTATTAACACATAGCCGAGCAGGATTTGGGTATTTCAGAGACATTATTGTACACACACCTGGTTAAAGACAGCAGAAAAAGCTAACGGCTGGGTAACTGGCTAGCGGACTGACACTTGAATACAGTGCGAGGAATGGGTCCGAGCGAAAGCGTTGGAGCTGGAAACAACAGTTATGACAATATTAAAGACGCGTCCTTATAGCAACAACAAACACCGGAAACTGTTAAACCGGTTGTTATTTTGTCACCTTTTGGTGAAGTCGACATGTCTATGTAGAAATAAAATCGTAATAAAGTGTTTACAAACTCACCCTTGTGCCCCTCTCTCTGACTCCTCTCCTCTCTCCTGGAATTTGACACGCCCCTCATCGACGTCAAACTATCGCGAGAACTCGTGTTAGTTATAAAGATACATGCATGTGACTATACATTTGAAAATTCGGACTTTTGTTTATTATTATTATTATTATTGCTGGTATTGAAAGTCCCTCCAATCATCTCATGGTTCCAGTGCAGATCAATTTGCATCTTATACCTATCGTGTGTTTGTGTGTGTGTATAACACATTAATCTGTAGGTATAAATATGTAACTAACTTATTGTTAAGGTCAAAATGTGGATGTTCACAAGAACCAAGCAAACAAAGTAGGCCAATGAATGAATGTATACAGTAAGGACTTAGGGAATAATTCTTCCTCTTCGTAGTTCGGTTTCCTTCCTGAAATCCTCACGCTATTCTCTCCCCCGACATCATTGTCCTTTGTGAGGAATAACATGACTGAATTGTGTACAATGATGAACAAATATGTCGCCTAAAAAAAATTAAAACAAAAAGAGAACAACAGTTATATGAACAAGAGTACATCCTGAGATCACGTTAGATATTTAACACGTGTTGCATGTAAATCCATACACTGATCAACATTATCAGTAATCGGTAATGTTTGCTGTAATCCACAGCAAACGTTACCGATTAGTTCAGCTTTGTGGCAAATAAACAAAACCACAACACAGCTGTTTCAATGGCCGTTGTTCAAGCCGTCTTGGTGTGAATTGAGATACGAGGTACCAGTGACCTCTGGTGGACTATTTATGAACTGAAGGGTCGTATTTGGTACAGATTTGGTCCACCATTTAAAAAGTATGAAAGATACTCATTATTATAGTCAGTATCTCGTAATAATGAGATAGTATAGCAGACTTTTTAATGCTGAAACAGCTACAAAAAAGGAATATACATGGCATAGAAAGACATTTGTTATGGTCAATAATGGTCAGATGTAGTGGAATTAAAAACCTATCCCACACTTGTGATAGAGTTGTGTCTGTTTAAACTTAAAATTATAACGTTTGTTAATAATGACACAGAGCGCAGCGTGAATAGAACATAAAGGTTTTTAATTATATAACACCAACAAACAGTAATAGTACTTGCACTAATGCACCAGACGGGATCTAAGTGCTTTACTGTTACACATCTATAGACAAAGTAACAAAATCAAGCACTGAGATGGTCAGAGTTTACACAGACGTTTACCATTTACTGGCTTATCCAGTGACATGTTATAAACACAAAGTAGTCATGTCATTTAATAGTTGAAGTAAAAACATACGTTTCAAAAGTTGGACCTGTGATACTGGAAAGTAAATCTTCTTGGCAAAAAAAACAAACAATAAATTAAAATGACAAACTGTATTCAACATTTGACATTTCAATGATTAAACTAACTTTTTTCTTCTTAGACAAATACAAACTATTGGAACTGTGAGACTGGAACAATAAAAAAATTATAGCATTATTCTTTTAAATAATTAAAATTGTTCTTTTTTAATCTGGCCAAAGAATTTTATTTGACACATGGTTTTATTAAAGTCAGCTCAGCAGGACCATCACCATGACGACTACAAAACAAACTATTTTGTCATTTTCTGTACAGAACTGAATTCAAACCACACCAATTCATTAATACCAATAACTAAACATACTGCTAATTATACATCCGCAGTTACCAACAACCTCTACATTTATACAGTCTGTGACCAAACATAATTTTCTCTTCATAGATGTCTTGATAAAAAAATCTCCACATCGCTATTACACAGAGCAAGGAATTTTCTACGGTAGCATTTCTGAACATTTTGTCCCTATTTAGAAAGCATATATTATTTTCCTGTACATTTTTTCCCTTTGTGTCAGTGAATGCATCATGAATACATCAGAGATGTAGGAAAATAATGATTTAATGAAGATGAAGCAAGTGAAAGTGTATTTTTTTTTAAAGACTGATTTTTGCAAGTGTCACGTAACAGAGGGGAAAGTGAAAACGAAAAGTTTACACGGGTGAGTTTTAATGAATCACTTAATTCCTGCTAGAAAAGGGACTGAACAAAAGAACCATCAGAGCCAGGCGGAAGTTTGAATGAATAACAAAAAAACAAAAAAAGAACAGTTGTGTTGGTTGAGGGAAGGTAACGGGTCTGTCACCCAAAAAACACCATCCTCACAATACAAAAAATATCACAAAAGAAGAATTTGTAATATCATAGAACCTCAAAACAAATGCAACTTCCCAGGTTAAGCTGACACGTTCTGAAATGCTGTGTTGAAAATGCCTCACCTTACATAAAAGCACTCGGGAAATTCTTTTAAAATAAAAGCCTTTTCCAAAGGGAGCTCCTTTTCTCTGTTCTCAGGACTTGTATGGATATTACATTTCCCTTCTGAGGGATGAGGGATTTTGTTGTACATTTGTTACCAGGCCAAGTATAACACACCATTATTAAGATAATGGCCGAGTGTTGGTGTACTGCCAAAACTGACACCAAATAAATAACAGCAGACTGAGATCGTATGATGTAGATAATTAAAAAAAACTCTATTGTCAGTTTGTCACCCGTGTGTGTGTGTGTAAGAAACCGTCCTGATCTTCATCCAGTGGTTTCACCTCAGTCTCTGAGCAGCAGATAGTCTTTGATGGTTTCTGGTAAAGGAAGCTCTTTCACAGCAGTAGGAAGGAACTGCACTCCCAGACTCTGTCGGACGGCACAGCGTGCCAGAGCGCGCAGAGAAGGAGCCTGCGTCACCATGTCTGTAAGCTTGGCCAGTAGCTGCGGGTCTTTACTCAACTCCTTGGGAAGAGAGCCGTCAGGCAGTCGGATCTCAAACCGGCCGGCTGCCCTGCAGAGCAGCTCCAGGCACTCCTCCTCCTGTTCAGTACCCAGACCCCGGGCTAAAAGAGCCACCAGTCGGGAGATAGGAGTCTGGCCCTTCATGTTTGTCACATGCACCATGGCCCCGTGGTCTAATAGCACTTTGACACTTTCCAGGTTGCCCTTCATCGCTGCCCAGCTCAAAGGAGTGTCATTGTTGTAGTCCCGGGCATTGGGGCAAGCCCCGCCCTCTAGCAACACTCGCACACACTCTGGGTTATCTTTAAAGGCGGCCCAGTGAAGGGGAGTGTCCTTGTTGCCATCCAGGGCATTAGGCAAAGCTCCATACTCCAACAGGAGCTCCACACAGCTCTCATCCTTCTCTGCTGCGTAATGAAGCGCTGTACGGTTGTATCCATCCAAAGCATTTACCTGATGAATAAAGTCAATATATTCAATGCCCATTTAACCTTTAACCTTTCACTAAGGTTTCAATACACAAGTATAAGTGGATTCCACAACCAACAGGTTAATTCTAAATATTAGGTACCATTAATGCATAGGTTAAATGGGAACTACACAGAGACATAAGGCAGCATAATCTACCAGTAAATTTACAGTAAAATTAATTTTCAATCTAGTGCTTTCTCCTTTTAGAAACATCCATTGTTAATTAAATGTCTGTTAGAGTAAGTGAATGTAGCAACTACGTTATTTATATCTGCATTTGGAGCCAAAGCTGATAGTTCACTTTAAGGCAGTTTAGGAAAAGCCACAAACAGAGTCGATCTCTCAGAGACGATTCACGCTGGTGTGTGCCCACGTACACACCTGCATGAACACAAACACACACTCACACTCAAGGACTACCCCTTTATGTGGCTGAGTGTGTATATAGCAATATATAAAAATAGGTTAAATTCTAAGTTGTGTATTAAAGTATTGATATATTGTAAAAAAACAGACATACTGTTCAACCCTAGTATGTGTGTGTGTGTGTGTGTGTGTGTGTGTGTGTGTGTGTGTGTGTGTGCGTGTGTGCTTGACTGGCCCTCTGCTGTTCAGAACTGTCAAACTGATTTAGCTCCAATAAGTTACAGAAACAAAACGGTGTATTTCTGACTTGAACAGCTTCCTGGTGTATGCAGCAGATAGATCAGTTTGCAGGAGGGAGTGTTCACTTACCTCTGCCCCTTTCTCCAGGAGCAGCTCGACACAGTCTGCATCTGCAACCATGCACGCACAGTGCAGGGGCTTCAGCGTCCCATGCATTCGGTTCACGTCAGCTCCCTTTGGTAAACATAAGACACAATGACATTAGTGTAACTGACCACACGGAGAGGTGACTGACGAGCGGGCACGCGTACCTTACGAATGAGATCCTCCACATTGTCGTGAGGGAACGAGCGAATGGCAGCGATGGTGCGGATGAGCCTCTCGGACAATGAGTATTTACTTTGAATGCTTTGCATTATGTACCACATAGTAGAGCTCATGTGTAACAGAGGAACATGGCACCGAGGCAGCAGTGACAGCAGGGAGTTTGAAACTGCAAGACATAACAGTGGAAATTTAGCAGCAATAACACACTGTAATAAACGGCTTGATTCTTCACTACTTCAAGGACATCCTCTGATTTTAGTTTTATTTTACGACAGTGACGTTAACTTAACCACAGAAGGTAGCAGTGGACAAGCAGCAGCCGTGTCCACATTGAAAAACCTAGTCTAACCTAGGATATGTTAAGATGATTTAGTAACATTCAGATGTACATTTTATTCACTTAGTCTTTAATAAAGTGGTTCAGATAATTCATGGACATTGTATTGGCTGCATGTAAGATCTTAATCATTCAGTTTACAAATGTAAGGAATACATTTTTAAACCTTGAAGATGCAAGCTAAACGCAAAATGTTCATGTCATTTTCTTGAAGAAAACAAAAAACAATCTTCTAAACCCCTACATAGACTTTGATATTTAAAAGGTTTAGATGCAACTTGAATTTAAAGTAAACCAAAGCGAACTTGGCTTTTACTATGGTCAATTTTTATTTTAATTCCTGTGACTGTAACCCCTGGGGCTGTGTTTTCATTAACCACCAACTTCACTTCGGTGAACTGGTCTTGAACTCAAACAAAATAGTTTGACAAGTACGGATACAGTTAGAGAATTTTTATTTTTAAAGTAGACCATAAATATAATAAAAAGATATATTGTAGAAATAATTTGTTATTGATATTAATCCCAATAATATAAAGGTAGAGAAAACGATGTTATCAAAATAAAATGAAACACGTTTTTAACGTGTAGTAAACAATTCATGTTCGCCCTGCTTTTTACCACAAAAGACCGTATACAGGCTTTCCAGCAAGTAAATGTTTAAAAAGAAAACATTACACAGAAATGCTAAAAAAATACAATATCTCAGAAAAAAAGAAATTGAGAGAAGAGGAAAAACATCTGAAACACAACAACAGCTGGTACCATCAGCTGAGCTAACTAGCGAGCTAACGTTAGCATGGAGATGGAAAAATAAAAACGAAACTCGTAAGCGGAAAGAAATTGGAGTTAATTTCATCAAAACACCCTGCCTGACGAATGTTGCTTATGTCGTCAATAAATGAGTAGGTGTCGGTTCGGAAACGTACCGTTTTCCGTCCAGTCAGGCTTTGAGGTTCTGACAGTCGTAATCACTGTTAGCTGCTCGGTTTGACATAAACACAGGACGTCATCGCTGTGGCCACGCCCCCGCTTCTTCCTCGATGGATGGTATTTAAACTGTACACAGTCAACTGTGGCCTAACTTCCCTTAGATTCAACTTTAATTCATCCCGGTTGTCTGGTAGGAAGCTCTGTGTGGACGGCACTTAATATAGAATCCTAACGACGGCAGCGCAGGCATCGCGAGAGCAACATACCAGGAATACCTTTAGCTCATGTCCATGTAAAGAGCTGAGGAGCAGCAGCAGCAGCAGCACAGAGACTGAGGACAAGTGGTTTTAACAAATCACTGCTCACTGACAGAAACCCAACACGTGACCAGTCGGGCTCTCCACAGCACACACACCACACATACATTTTGTAGAGTCAAACACCCTCTTTACGACTAAATACCAAGGTTCAAATTAAAAAGAATATATATAAATACCTTATACCTACCAGCCTGACATACGTCGACCTAATCAGATCCCATCATACATCATACTTTGAAAGGAAAAGGATCTCAACTTCCTCTTACCAAAACCACATTTTGACACAATACACTTGGAATGGAAATAAATAAAAATAAAAATAATCGCTCAAAAAAATCCATATATAATCCATATATCTATATATAAAATAATTTAGGAAAGAATGTTTTACCACCTTAATAAAAAAACATTTGATTGGACACTGTGTTTAAATCTACGTCTAATCTTTATCTGTACAAACGACTGTATGAGTTGCTGCCACCTAGTGACTGGAGGCATGTTATCATTCAAGCATTACAGCAGTGGTACACGTGTGCCATATTACATTGGAAGCCCCTCGCCCCCCGGCACCTCACCGTGGCCCATTAAGTTACTATTAATAACTTTTAAAAAAAATAGTTTTTATGTCTTTTGTACAGGTAAATATCCCACATACTAAAGACATCAATTCTTGGCTTAAAAATATGACACTTCAATATTTTCTTGCAACATCCATAGCATTATTAGCTTGTGAAATTTGCAGTAAATATCTGTTCACACAACACAATAAAGAACATGAGACCAGAATGCCAAATCAAAATAATTTATTTTTGGTGACATTTCATACAGTTCTAGGATTGTGTCTCAAACACTTGGTTGATCCATTTTAGTCTATATCCTTTTTTGCCACCCCAACCGAATTTAACAGAAAAAAAAATCAAAGACATGGAGGGGATGAAAGCATATCCTGACGGTAATTGCAAGCCTGTCAACATCAACCATATGCTTCTAAAATGATTTCACCTTACTCTCGAGTAAGGTATTATTTTAATAGAGTTAGTGCATTCATTTTTAATTAGACTAAATCACTAGCTGCTCAAACTCAATAATGAAGAAGAAATAACAGCCCCAGTGATTGGTTGCTCATTTACTGCATTACTAACACCCAAGTCAATGCATCAAGTATTTTTTCAGCTGACATCTCCAACATTATATAACTGCCATATGCGTGATTTTCTTTTTGCCAATGCGATTTCACACAACTTTGGGGAAACCAGCCTACCAAGATTGGGAGAAAAGCGTTGCGCATCTGAATTAAAATAAATAAAATTAAAAATCAAATACATACAGTGAGTCAAACTTCAAATTCTAAGTCAACCTTTGTCTTTTTTTCCCAAAAGTTACAAAAAGAAAAAAATAACAGCAAACTCAACCATAAAAGCACAAAAAAAAAACAATCAGGTGGACAGCTGCTGTCAAAAGCCTCCCTCTGTAAATCCAGAACTAGAACATTTACATTCTCCCGCACACGTTTCTAGTGAAGGGTTATTACAATAAAGCAAAGGCAGCTACACCTTCCAAAAATCCAGTTTTACTGGGCCAAACGTTTCCCAATGGTTACATTTTCTTTAGCAGACTGAATTTTAATTTTTTTCTCAAACTTATCCCTTACCCACTATGATCATAGGCAGCTGGCACATAGCACGTGGAAAAAAAGGGTTCCGTTCTTCTTTCAACCCACGATATCGGCTGCCAAATGTTACGTAGCGATCATTCTCAGCTAATAGCAAAACCTCAAGTCTAGTTTTGACACTAAGCCATTGTTAAGAACGTTTCACAGATATAAGATTAACCTGAATTTTCCTGTGATGTAGAAAAGCCAAACCTCACCAAAACCAGTCCAATCCTACCATGAAACCTCGTCTTCTTCAAGTCTCCATCAAATACATCACCCTACATCCCAAACATGTAAACAGAGCATCTGACTGATTATCAACATGACTAATAATTTCAATCCATTAGAGTGGGTGCACCCAGGACAACATCTTAAAAATTAATGTTTAAAAAAAAAAAGAAAAAGAAAAAGGAAAAAGACAACTTTGGACCAGGCTAGCAGGTTATCTGTGGCTAACAGACCAGTGAGCAGCCCAAAGTGGATTTGGGCCTAAACAAAACTACACATCTAACTGCAACGCGGTTGAAGCCAATCGCAGACCAGGATCAAATTACCACGATAGAACACATTTTCCTTAATATACATGTGAAGACCGCACTGTCCGCGTCCAGGACAATGATTCTAAATCTCTGATGTAAAAATCAAAACAGAAATTAAAATCAGGTTCATTAGACATGCTCTACAGCTCACAGACTGTAGCAGGTCAATCATCTGGTTGAACAATCAATGCATACAGACATCAGTCAAACCTTCAGTCATTCTTGCACATCTAAGCACACAAAAGGAAAAAAAACAAAACTGATGTCTCATTGCGTTGTTAGTGATATCTTTGTATATGTACATGACCAATATGCATGTTCTTTTTCTTTCTTTAGTGCATATTGTTCTCGCAGACCAACATCTATTTTTAAAATAATTGAAAGAAAAAAAAAAAAGGGTAGAGTGGGCTTTTTATGCGGCCCAGCATCCTTTCCTTTCCCAACGGAGCATAAATGAGATGACCTCCACGTAAATCGCACTTATGATTCTAAGCATAATGCCGGAGGTCAAACCAAGATCTTCCAAAATCATTTGTCAAAGTTCTTCTGGTGTCATTCAGCCCATTAGTCCTGGATGTCCTGGTTTTTAAGTGTCATTTTTAGAAGCATCTCATTGGACAAGTTCCAGGGGGAAGGAGGCTACCTATGTTGTTGCTTTTATTATTTGTTTTTATATAATCATATATATCCATGTATATATTCATACATCTTTTTTCTATTCATATCAAGTCCTTTATTTGGGTGACACTGGAGGGATATTCTGCTCTTTGCCAGTGTGCCTGTAGCCTCCCTGTGGGGAGTTACGTCGGGCCGGAGGCGGGCGCCTCTGGTCCCGAAACTTGAGGCCCCCGGTGCCTCTGGGGCCGTTGCTGCGGTAGTAGCTCTGAGAGTCACGTTCGCGGGGCGGCCGGCTCTCCTTACATTCCCATCCTCCCTCCTTGTCGTGGCCTCTCTCGTGTTTGTCCCCAGGACCGCCGCTAGAGCCAGACTCCTCGGCTTTATTCACGCGTAATTCGCGCAATGGCTGGGCTGAAGCAGTACCGGAGGAAGCTGGGGCAGGGGCCGCAGGCGGAGGTGGGTCCTTGGGTGGCCGCTGGCAGACCTCTGCATAGCTGAGCTTACGTGGCTCCTGCATTAACACAGAAAAAGAAACAGTTAAAGGATGGTGTAACACAGTCCAGATGCACATTACACAGATTCGAACGTAACCCTCAGATCTCATAATCTTAACGCTCATCGGGTTGAGAGTGAACCTTCTGGGCTTTGGTGGGAAAGAGCAAAGAGAAGAGAAGAGGGGAAAAAAGACAGAACAACAAAAGGAGGAGAGAGAGGGGATGAGACCACCAAAGACAGTCAGTCCACTACATCATTTCCCTCTATGCGCAAAAGTTCTCATCATCGGGTGATCAATTCAAAATACAAACAAGCAAAACAGTAATTTTTCTGACCTGTGCCGGAGTGGGTACAGAGACTGCAGCAGGGGTGGGTGTGGTGGGTGTCACAGGTATAGAGGCAGATGGAGGCTGAGGCCTGGAGACAGACACAGGCTGTGCAGAAGAAGAGGATGAGGAGGAGGAGTTGACAGTAGTCTGAACAGGTGTGCGTGGCGTCGTTTTTGGAGCTTGGACCTCTGCCCGTTCAGCCCTCTTTTCCTGACGAGCACTGTCAAAGCACAGTTGGTCTTAAGGTCAAAACTGCTATTAGGTTTACAATCATGGATTCAAGTGTAGCTGTTGTCTTTATGTACCCTGGGGCAGAAGGTCCGAGTGGTTGAACAGCAGGTTTAGCCGCTGGCAGGATCGGACTTGGAGCCACAGTCATCTCTGTGACTGGAGCTTGGCCTGACCCCGCACTCACAGTGGATTCTTTGTTGGTTTGTTCAGTCTAGAAAAGCATCAAAACATGAACACATTCCGATTCTAGCTCCCAACAGTCCATTCTATGGGGTTTGTGACGCAACAGTTGCTCACCTTATCCCTGTACAAACCGCGTACAACATCTGACATTCTGTTTTCGAGCACCGGCTCCCCCTGTGTGCTGACCACACAGCCTGGAAGGGGAGGGAAATTGGTGGCAGCCAAGTCAAACTTGGGTGGAGAGACCTTGACTTCTGTTAGCGGCACAGGTCTCTGAAGGAGGAAATTGGAAATGGAGACAATAAGAGGATCACAAGACAAGGTCACCCTCTAAACACACCGAGATAGTCCTATTAAACATCCATCTACCGTGATGCGGTCGTCTTCTCGCCTCCTGCGAGGTCCTCTATAGGTTGTGCTCCGTCTGAAAGGATGACAATGTCATTATAGAACCAACCAAAGACCATTGACTTTCAGTGAGGGGAGGGGGAGTGGAAAAAACATCAAGCTGGTTAACCTTCCACGTCCAGACATGCCATTGTCATCACAAGGGTCCAAAGAGGAGGAGGAGGAAGAGAGATGAGAGAAGGCCATGCTGAGATCCGACACCGCCTGGACCGGATTGGTGGCAGCTGCAGCCACAGCAGCAGGGGGCTGTGGGCTCCGCAGGCCAGTCAGACTCTCCAGGGCCACGGGAGTGATGACGGCCGGGGTCACTTCGTTCGTCCTCACCTGGGGCTTTACATGGTTTCTGATGTAGTCAAAACGAAAAAACAATATGTGAGCATGGATCACATATTCTAAACAAGAGCAACCAGTGTTTCCTGAACGGCACGTCCCTTTGTGAATCTTACTTCAGTTTCACAAGGTGCTATTTTTTTTTATTTAGCTCATTTGAACATCTTTTCCTTTAGTCCTTATTTATTGTTTCAGGTATTGGGGAAGTACAGTGTATGAAGAAATGTGTTAGTGGGCTGCTTGACACAGGTTGGTGACAGAGGCTGTGCTTTGAGGAGAATAAAGAGGCTGTCAGAAAAACAATGCAGTTCTACAGATGACAAACCACAGCCCCAAAACAGCCTGCACCCCTGGCCCTTTTTTATTATTATTTTAGATGATGCATACCATGCACCATAGCAGGGGACTGCAACATATGGCTCCTGAGCCACAGGTGGCTCTTTGAACCTTTGTATTGGCTCCATGTGCGGTGTTATGTAACAATTGTGAATTAACATTTTTTCCAAAACAAAAGAAAAAGGCTCATATTTCCTGTATGAAGATATTTTATATTGTTATCAATGACCATCAGATACTGTGGAGCTCAGAGCTGGGAATTTTCCCCAAATTCTCAGCATGCCTTTATACAGCACAACATGGCGTAATTGTCCTCCTTAAATGGAGGTTGCTGGGCACGGTTTGTGATAAAATCACAACAAGCGTTCAGCGGCTCACGTGGCCCTGTACAGTTTACAGACTGCATGTTGAGATTTAAAAGCAGTTGGTCTTTGCCCAGAGACAAAACCTAAAAAAAAGCTGCTATTTTGTGGAAGATTTGCTTAAAAAAAAAGAAGCCCCATCAGTTCACAGGAAACACTGGTGGCATCAATAACACTGTGCTGGAGGGAAGACAACATGCTGTGTCCTCAATGTAAACATGCAGGGAAATGTGTTCATGCATGACTTGTTGAAGAAAACCATCTAGCCATCTCTATCCAATCTTAAAGCTGGTGTGTTTAGCCTGATAAGATACACAGGTGACGTTGTTTGTTCACAGACCCTCAGATCTCATAATCTCAACGCTCATTGGGCCGTGAGTGAAGCACTTAACTTTGGAAGGGTAGGAGAGACTGAAGTGAGAGAAGAAGCAGTGAGAAAGGGAGAGGGAAGGAGAGAAAGACAGAACCAAAGCCAGTTACTCCACTCCCTGATTTCCCTCTATGCGCATCATGATCTCATCATCGGGTCTGCCTTCTCACTCCAGTCAAAACTTCCAGAGTGGTTATTGTTTGGTGCAAGATCTTGGTGCTGCTGACCTCAGCCTCAAACTGACAGCTCTATTGTGTATTACCCTGGTACTTGGTAACATGATGTGTGAAATGTGTGATGGATGAAAAAAAAGTTGCATGCTATAACAAAAAAAAAAAACAAACAAAAAAAAGACATTGCATACAGGATGATAATAGTTGACTACAGTCTACATTTATCAAGTGACAAATCCAGGAGCTCCATTACCTGGCACCAAATGTTATCTCGACAACAAAAATTTAGCCTCTACGTTTGACTGACAAAAGGCGTTGGGCCACATTATGGATAAAGTCACTTTGCTGCTGCAATATGGTAAGAGATGGAGGAAGCAGTGAAGCTTATTATACAGTGCAACATCAGGTACCTGAAGGCATTTATTACATTCTTTCTTGAATAGAGAGGGACACTGTGGGGACAGTAAGAACAATAACGGAGTAAAAAACAGTTCCCTGTTTGACTTCATGCAAACAAGGACACAAACAGTTAAACACTAATTAGAAATTATTTAAGGCATACAGCTGGATTTGAGCTAACATCAGTACAAAAGTAGATTTTTTCCATCTCTACCAAACCTTCAACTGGTTTGGAAATGCTTAAGAGGGAAGAAAACATCTAGTCTTCAGTTACATTGATCTTTTACAGCATCATCTGGCTGCTGCTCCCTACCCATCATATTATCCTGTGGTTCTTTTGTGTTCTAATACCATTGTGTATTTTTATTTCTATTTTCTATCTACCCTAGTGTTTCATGCTGTTATATTTTAACGCATTTAAATATACCAGACTGTTATGACAACCTAATTTTAATTTAAGTAAATTGATAAACACTTGCAACACTTAAGTTATTTGAATATGAGACAACTCCCCAAGGCCACTATTGCAGAGTTTGTGTAACAACAGAACTTACCGACTTCTATTGAACTGACGAGTAATATTCAAAGAGTTGGAGCCTGTTTTGTAATGTCCAGCTGAGCCAAAGCCATTCACAAAGCTGCTGTTAGGAAAAGGTGCCTGCGAGGAGGGAAAAAAATAAATAACTTTGGAAATTTTGCTGCTATAAAAATGGGAACTAATTGACCTATATCTGGTAGGGGTCTATTGACAATAATCTGGTGAAACGATACGTATCTCGACACATGGGGAAACAATACAATATATTGCAATACACTGAACGAATATTTGCATGTTATTGTTAACAAGCAAAAGCATATATAGTGCTGTAAAATATCAATACAATATCATGAATCCAAAAAGCACAATATTTCAGTGTATCAGTATTTTCTTACAACCCTAATACTTGACATCTGCAACTTAGAAACTTGTACGGCCTGTTGGTCAACATGTGGCAACAGGCTTCTGTTATTATATACAAAAGAAAATCTACTAAAACTGAAAAACTTTTGCAAGACAAGGAACATGTCTCTCACCAGAGGAGTTTCAAAATAAGGTGTTGGAGAAGGCGTCCAGGTTGGAGGTACAATGCCGTAGACTGGGTACTGCTGCTGAGGGTAGACGTGCTGCATGTAGAGAGGAGAGCTATACTGGGACTGGCTCTGGGACTGCTGGGCGTACAGGCTGCTGTCCATGCTACGGTAGCCATTCTTCGCAAAGAATGTGTTGATGGCTTTTATTCTGGCCTGTGGTGCAGGATTTAAAAAACGTTTTACACAAAAACCATTTCACAGGAAGCCTAAGATCACATACAACTGAGCTTCACTTGACTCACCATGATGGGTTTTCCCTGAAACGTTTTCACTTCCTCTCTTAAATACTTGTAAGCCTACAAGAGATCAGAAGCAGCAGGTCATCAGAAAATTCACGATTCAGAAGTTCACTGAAGGTGACTGTGGTGTCAAGTACCTGTTGAGCATCTGTGTCTGATTGGAATGTGATGTACCAGTTATTGTTGTGTGCAAACTCAACACTGATCACCTTTGGACAGTTGTCATTTTTGAACAGTGACTCCACCTCCTGGAGATCAGATTTAAACACACACTTTGGTCAACCCCAAACAATATTATTCCAAATATAACATATTTTCAATGTGTACTTTCCAACACTCACCTCTACAGGTGTGGTTTCAGGGACTTCTCTCAGGATGATAATGCACCGCTTGTGATTAGGACGCACTTTCTCCCCTTTCTCGTCCACTTGTACCATAGGAGAGGCTGTGGAGGAGAATATAATTTGAATATTTTAATCTCAGACACAAAAATACATTTGTTTCGTTGTGGTACTGCTTTGTTATGCGAAACACTTACATCTTAGCACATCCAGGATGAGGTCCATGTCAGTGGTGAGAACTTTAATGCCCTCCATACTAGCTATAGTCCAGATGGGGACAAATTGGTCACTGTCCATCTGGGACATCAGGTACAGGTCCTTTGAGAGATTTTCCCTGAAGATTACACAGATCCATGCAGGTTAGTTTTCTTAGGACCAAGAAAAACAGGAACACCGAACAAATCTGACTTTAAGACAGTTCCACGAGCCCTTCCATCTTACCTTGAGAAATAAAACTCCAGTTCTTTCTTAAGAGACTCTCGTAGACTCTCAGATGAGATTGGCTCCTCTTCAGCCTTGGATTCTCCTAAAACCAAAATGAAAACATGTGAAGTAAGGTGAAATGCTGTAACTAGTAAAAAAAAAGTTTAAGACACACCAAGTACAGAGAACTGTTCTTTATATGAAACACGCTTTAATTTTGACATATTAAGCAAACTGTACCAGTTCACTTTAAATACATGTTTGCCTTTCACAGTACTGGTTAGTGTCTGTTTGCACAAACTTTGCATAACAGAGCAAATATCGCTACGTTTTCATTTTGTACGAACAAAGAAACCACTGATAATCGGTGGTTTCTTTATGGAAACAAATGGCCCCATGTTTGACCCCTGCTGCTCTTACGGTAAAATAATAAAAACCTTCATATAAAAAAGGCTTTATGTAAAGCTTATTTGGTCATTTTGATCATGTGACAATGTGACTGACCTGGCGTCCCTGTCGTGGACTCAGCAGGGGAGAAGACCATCTCTGGAGCGTCCATTCCATTCACTGATATATCAGCTGTTGCTGTGGAGCCCTTGTCTTCCAGGGTTGTGAATCCCACGGTGTACTGTTTGCACCCAGCAGACGAAGTCTCAGTGTAACCTGTGAACGGAAACAGCGATACAGGGGAGGGGGAAAAAATAAATAAGAGAAGGAATCAGGCATGTTTTCGAACAGCAAACATGTCCACTGTACTGTATGTGTATAGTAAAATCAGGTATGAAAAGTTAACACTAATAAAGGAAGAGTTTATTTACACCAAACACGTAGGTCTTAAGGTTAAATTCACTTGAGAAACACTGTATGTTCCCACTTTACACTAACTGTAATCAAACCTGCCAGAAGAATCAAATTGTGACTAATGGAAAGCACCACTCACCTTCAGTCATGTCTGTGTTGGGCCAGTGGGGGCTGTTTGTCAGAGTCTCTGTGGGAGCCACTGGCATCTCCTGCCAAACCTTGGCATTTGGGTTCAAACCGGCACCCTTAGAGGTGACCTTCAAAGCAGAAGCAGCAGGATCAGGAAACTGCAATTCATGTTAAGATAAAACAGCAAAACACTTTTCCTAAACACTAAACACAAAAAACATGCATTAAAATAAATCAAATCAACAGAAAGTTAAATAATCTAATGATTAGAATATAACGGCAGTGGAGGACATGCATTAAAACTGAACTTTAACCAGAACCTGGAAAAACAGCTACTGCTTGAGGACAGCTTATGTTAAAAATAACAGGTGCTTCACTTGCTTTAACGCACTCAGACCTGTTGAAATCTTAGAAGAATGGATGAAGACTTAGTCAGGAGTCTATTACCCGTGGTATCCAGCCGTATAATGTGGAAGACTGACAGCAAGACTCACACCAATTTCACCAAAGACCTTGGTGATTGCCTTGTGTTACTGATGGAAATCACCTGGCGTAACACACAACACCTACATACCACTGGGCTTCCATTGCATATAATTGGAAACCAGAGAAGTACATTGAAATGGGTTCATAGGGCCCCACAGTCCCCTGTCATCAAGAGATTATTGGCCTGCTAATCTTTAGTGGAATTACAATAAAATAGAACATGCTACCGCATTATAAGAAAATATGATTAAACCATCAGCTAACTCATTTCCAACTTAAGACATGCTAATTGTCGTTTCATAGAACAGGAATAACATTTTTAAATTAGCCTTCAAAGGTTTTGGAATACTTGTGTATTCTGTGCAGAATTATTTTCACAGTTACATGTGCACTGCAAACAAAATGCTATTTTGGCAGAATATAACATCCTGCCAACTTGCAAATTGCAAGATAACAATGACTGGAAGTTTAATAACTATTGCTATTAATTTTTTTAAATTATTTTATAGTATTTTATATTATCAAAAAGGCTTGCACAAACTAAGGATGTGTGTGATTTTATTTTGTGGTTTGTTTTTTTAATACCAATTTAAGTATTGAACTTTTTATATTATAACTTTATCAAGCTGCAGTTTCAAAATGAGTTGCTGAAAAGCTACATAATTTCACCTGCAGGTAAGTAAGAATTCTTCTTAAATTATTATTGTATAATAATCTGCCAGGATTTCTCAAGATTCCGTTCAACTGTTGACTTAGGTAATACTTCTTTACACATTTGTGGGTTGATGCATTAGTAGAGTATCAGCTCTTATTCAATGTAGACTTGATTGAGAAAACCTAACACTCACAAAGGTCTGTCCCAGAACAGTTCACAGTACTACATGTTAAGTAATGATGATTCAATTTAAACTACAGTATTTAAAAGGCTGTTTAGGTAGTATTAAATTATTTATTCTCTAAAACCCCAAGTCTGAAATGGCAACTCCCTGTTGTGACACTGTGGCTCAACTTGGCAACGGTTCAAAACCCAATCTTTTTTTCCCTTTACAAAAAACACTTGGCCTGACAGGAACAGCTGTTGGTTACGATGCGTCCTCAGACCCTACTCTTCTTTAACAATTCAAACAAGAACGGACGCGTTAAAACGACTCAAGCCCTGGTGTCGTTCAAAAGGGCACAGACATTAATGTGCCGTGCAACTTGACACATGGTTACAAAAGCACGCTTCACTTTTACAGGCCGCGTCAAGCCAAGAAATGTCAGCTGACTGCCGCTACGCAGCACAGGCCAGGTATTTGTAACGCATGTCACTGCGCTCACTTAGCTGCTAGCTGGCTGCAGCTAACCCATCGTATTAAGCTGATGAACCTTTATCCTTGGGTTAAGAAACGAAACATCGAAGAATTAAAATGATAAGCATTGCCATACGAGTACACCTGTCTTTACTGGAGCTGTAGCTCTCTTGAAGATATGGCGTAACTTAACTTTACGAGCTAATGATTACTCAGCAAACTACTTAATGAGCTTGCTGTCCACAGCAGCTAAGCTAACGTTAGCTGCAGATCCGACTAAATCACCTGCTTCCATAACACTGCAACTTAGTGCCGATATTATTTCATTATTTTAACATTTCACAATGAATTTGCATTGATGTAAAGGCCTAAAGGCATTTTCTCAAACCTAGGCCTATAATTAAAGTGTGAATTCTTGTGTTGTTTGGATTAATTTTACCCGCTACCTGATAAATATCGTTGGTGGACAGCCTAGCTAACAGGTCTGCGATCTCAGTTGCACTTATATTAGCCACTTAGCTTTAGCTTAGCTGCTAAAGCAGGCCTCACTCACCATGCCGCCGCCGCCACCGGACCCTCCCTCGCTCCCCAGCGGAGCCTCGTCCTTCCCACCGGTCTTCGGTCCAGGATCAGCCTCCTCCTGCAGCAGCGGCGGCCCCACGCTCGGCTCTGAACTCATCAGCCGCTCCTGACTCACTTCCACCCCGTCGCTTTCTCCCGGACCCCCGCCTGCCACCACCACCGCCTTTTTTGGGGAGACACCGGCTGTATGCAGCAGTCAGTCTGGTCCTCTCCTGTCCAACTGGATCGACCACTCACTCGCACTAGCTCCACGCCAGCTAAGCGGCTAACACGTACGCCGCAGACGGAGGCTACTGAGCTAACGTGCTGTGAATCAACGAAGCGGCGCTAACGGCTCTTAGCTCAATGAATTAAACACTGCACCGACGCCGACACGCTAGTGACACAGGCAACGGCCGACCATGGCTCTTCTCACAGCGCAGTCCCCGCTGGGTCTTCACAAAATATTTCAACGCACACCGGCTTCGTGAGGCGCATTCCTATTCGGGCGACCCAAGCGGACACTGGGGACACGCAGCTCTCCTCAGCGCAGGCACACAGTCCGCCGACGTCCCGGCTGCCACCGCGAGTTCTCAGTGACCTCTGCATAAGCCATTTCCTTTTCCGGACTGGCACTGTAGTTCTCCTCCCACTCTTATCACATTTATCTATTCCCAAACATATTTAAGTTTTTATGATCTGCATTTGTTTTCAACTCATACGTATTTATTTCCATTTTTACAAAACGAATTCTTTATTCCACTGTTGGTTCCACAGGAACGGATTTTCAAATTAAAATGATTTTTTTGGGCCAACAACCAATTTATAGAAAGTTTGGAACAGAATTAAAATCACAAGCTAATCTATTTTTCGTGATGTTTTTATAATGATTGAGTAACATTAAATATGTGACTAAAATTAAAGCTTAAAAGTCCCTTTAGCTGACCTAATTCTCTTGAATGCTAGAGGACATTTGTACAAGTAATGGATATTTACTTTTTTTTTCATCTCAAATTCAACATCTGCTGTACTCTGACCCTTGAATATCTTACACATTACAAACACTATGTTTTACAGAATAAAAAATAAATGTTTTTAATTAGATACCATTTTGATATATATAATGTTCCAATCAGGCAATGCAACGCAAACCTTCACAAAAAGAAAATTGCTTTTATTTTGTATGTTAAACACAGAAAATCACTGAACATTTTTTGTCCTAACAGGTAATGTATTACATACCACAGAGAGTTAAGTTGTTTATAGGCACTTGAGAACTATTTTTTCATGTTTCTGGATCTCTGGTTCTTTGTTATCAATAGCAAATTAATGAGTGCTCTGTGGTGTCTTCTAAAGCCTCAAGAGCTGTGATTAAATCATTTACTGTCCCATGAGATACAATCACAAAGAGATAAGTCTACAAAATAACCGCTCAGCTACTTAACAAGACATTGGATAATTCCACTACAAACTAAATATGTTTTGGATTATCCTAGCAGTCGATATGAAAGGTTTGGTTGATTTCATTCAAATTTCATTCAAATTTCACAAATAGGTTGCAATAGAGTAGTGTGAGTTTCAGAGGCTTTTATTTTTAAATACTATAGTGTAATCTGTGAAATGTTAAAGTTTAGATGTGGCAGAGTGAGAACAGAACAACACAATAGCTCCAATATCGTGATGCTAATTGATAGCAGACTGAGTCTACTTCGCAAACAGAGTCTTCGTCTTGATCACATGCTCCATATCAGCACTTTCAGATGTATCTAGTTTGATGTCGTACTTGGCCAGGATCTTCATGATTGGCCTTATCTTCAGCCACCACTGGGTCTTAGGGATGCGGTGCCTGCAGCAAAAACGGAAGGGTGTGTCAAAGTTGTGGTTCACTTTAGTTCCTGTCAGTATAGTACGTAGAAAATGTGAATCTCACTCAAAATCTGTATCTCCCTTCAACTCAGTGAGTGGCTGGAAGGTGAGCGCTCTCTTCCTCATGCCCAGAACACAGGCAGAGTCGGTTGTGTTAGCAAATATACGACCTGAGGGAGGCAGAAATATTGCGACTCAATTTCACTTACATAAGAGAAGAAGTAGGATTTGTTTATAGGTCAGCATACCATGCCTGTAGCACTCCTTCAGCTTATCTGTCAGCCAAATAACAGACTTGGCACCCATTTTTGTGCCAAAGTTTCTGTCGAAGGGCGTTGGAGTGCCACCCTGTGGACATCAAAGCACAGAGGCTATTATCAACTGTTCCTCATTTGCAACGCCTTTGAACCTCAATCATCTCCACAGACCTGTTGCATGTGTCCGAGGACATTCTTACGGCAATCAAAGACGCCTTTGCCCTCCTCTGAGTACAAGTTGAAGATGAAGTCAGTGGTGTAGTTGGCATTGGAATTTTCATTCCTAATGAAGAGATGAACAGTGACCCTGTTTAACTTTAAGGGCTATGTTGCAACGACAAAGCAGACATTTTACTTTTTCTATGCTATACTTCTGTAAAATTTACAAAAAAAAATCATTATTTATCATGATGATTAAGTTTACTCATGGGATTCCTAGTAGATCTATAGTAGAACTATGTACTGTATTTTCTGGACTATAAAAGTCACACCTTTTTTCATCTATTGGATGGGTTTGCGACTTACACTCTGGTGCGACTTATATATTAAAATATGTAATTTCATATGTTTGTTATGAGGGCACTCTCGCTGGCTAGTGAGTCTCATACTACAGATCGACTTATGTTTTTTTCTTCTTCATTATGCATTTTTTGGCTGGTGCAACTGATACACCAAATTATATGACACACACAGGTGGTGTTTTCTTACAACAGGGTTCTAAATATATAGTAAGTATACTGTATATCATTGACTTACTATATAAATGTATGTGATTCCATTTGTAACACATATATTCTTGAAAGCAAAACAAACTCACCTGAGAATCAAACCTCTCTTCACCGTTGTCTTCATCTTCTCCACCAGATGGTCTACATTCACCTGCAGACCAGAAACACAGTTTACATTCTCATAACCTACACAGATGCTCATTCGACTCAAGTTTGTTTTAACATTACAAAAATGAATTCATACAAAACTGATATTCTTATTGATCAATTAATCAGTGCTTTTTTTTCTATTACTGAACAAAAGATGCAATTTTGAAACCTTGCTGTGCCTCCTGCAATAGCGCCGTGTCTCCACAGGGGACCCATGACCCACTTTGGGAACCCCGGCCTAATGACTCACACACCTGCAGATCTTTAATGTTGAATCTTTCCTCGAAAATGTAGGCAGCATCAGCTCCAGCAGCCAGACCAGCCATGGTAGCCAAGTAGCCGCAGTATCCACCCATAGTCTCAACGATAAAAACGCGGCGCTTGGTCCCTGCTGCCGACTGCTTGATCCTGTCACAGGTCTACAGGGAAGAGGTTCACATATTTGGCTGCTTGATACCAGGGCATGTGTATCTTCTGTCACAGCACTGACCGTGGTGATGGTGTTGAGGGCAGTGTCAGCTCCAATGCTGAAGTCAGAGCCGGGGACGTTGTTTGAGACAGTGGCCGGGATCACCACCATAGGAATGCACATCTCTTCATACTTCTCTCTGGCTTGAACCAGCTCCAGACCTCCAACGTAGGCCTGCGTTCAGGAAGAAGTTAATCTTTTTTTTTCACATTCTCATTAAATCGTTTCATGAAGCAGAGAAAGCAGAAGTTTCACCTCAAATCCACCAATGATCACCAAAGCGTGGATGTTATATTTGGCGATGTTCAGGCTGATTTCCTCCAAAATTTTGCCTGGCAGAGTTCTTTAAAAAAGAGAAAAAATAAAACAATGGGAAAAACCTCAGTTTTACTCTTAGTTGTGTTGTGACTGAAGAAGAAATGCCTTTTTACCTCTTGGTGCCCAACACCGAGCCTCCTTTTCCTGTCCAACCACTCACTCCATTCCAGGTAATGGGCTCAATCTACAGTTGAAGAAAATGTTAATTAAGGTAAATGAAGAGAGACTTACAGACATCCATCCATCCATTTATCTAGCCATTTATTCTTTTGCAGGGTACTAACAAGATGAGTACTGCCCCCTTGTGGGACAGCAAGGTAATGCCTAACAGAACTTTTTAAACGTAATGCGATGATCTCATTCCACTTTTTATTAACATAGATTAATCTGATTTATAACTTTTTGACTTATCATTGTATAGCATTATATATTCATGTGTCCAAAATCACTTTATTTCTAGCCTACTGATAATCCCAAATATCCCAAAAATCCCATCTTACCTGTCCCTGGGCCAGGCCATCAAAACCATCGTGAACAGCCAACATGTTGTGACCTTGGATGATTCCCATTCTGACAGCAGCACGAACCGCAGCGTTCATACCAGCACAGGGAGCCCCGATGTTCATGATGGCCACGTTGATGTTACTCTGACAGGAAGGGTTTAGAAAATAAATCTGTCAGCGATGAAGACGGTGTTGATGTGTCGTGAACACATGACTAAAATCACTGTTTGACCCATAATGGACGCCTTACCTTAGTCTCTGGGGGGTTGATGTGACCCAGCAGTTTGTAAGTGTTCCAGTTGTTTTCGAAGCTCCTGTAAATCATAAATACAGCTGATGGCTGATTGGTCTCAGCCACATTGTCTCTAAACCAAATGTGAACGTTCCTCAGTCAGTCTTTTACACGTGAACTTAAGAAGAAACTAGTATAGTAGCACTGTTTGAGATATGAAGAGATATTTTCATGAAACCCAAAAACCACATCTAACAATCTGGTTCCCATACAAAAGAAATCATTTATCTGGGCTGCTATGCTAACTGCTATGACTAAAAATGTTCATCATTTTAAAATGTAAAATTTCTTTAACTTTCATGAATCTCCAAGCCATCCCTAAAAACCCAAAAGACCTAAAACCAAATCCATAACATTTTCTTCGTGGGGCGGGGGCTCACTGTTGTTGCCTGTCATCAACGCTCAGACCCTAATCGGGGGAAAACACTTACTTGCCCCTGAGTTTAATAGCATCTTCAAATCTGCCCTCAGCCATGGCAGCCGTCACATCTTTGGTCTGTGCAGACAGAGACAGAGACACTGACTGTTGCTGTTGGTGTCGTTTTCAGATGTAACAC